AATAATGTTTTTATTTAATTCAAAAGAACATGAGTCGTTAAAGAAAAAAACGCGTTCCTCCTGGAGTAAAGCAGTTCTGCAGGAAAACCAATTATTTATTAGTTGACAGGTGCTGCTTACTTGCCACTTGAAGGGGCATAAATAGTACGGAATGTGGTTTACAATATTGAAGTCGTTAAAAATGAGAATATAGTAATATAGTAAATATAGTATGAGTAATTGTATTTATTGTTTTTTTGTAGAATGAGAAATCAGTTAGACTAAACGTTAAAAGTGGCTAGTCTGGAGCCATTAAAAATGCCTAAATTTTACAATTAATTTTGGCAGTAAGAAAACAATTTCTCTCCCTCAAACTGTTAAAAATATATTTCAGTGTACAAAAAATTTGAATATGAATATTTTGTTACAAAAGGGCGGCTACTAGTCCAAGCTTTGGAATCACTTTTCTCCAGTAAGCCGCAATGGTTGACGGTGGTTGCTCGAGGGATTAACGCGTGCTATCTAAACAAAATAAAAAAGTGTGATCTTAAACTTTATAAGTATAACCTGTGTTTTTAGCTACACCGCAGTTTGGGAAAAATGTCGGTAAAAATTAAAGTTTTGGCCGAAATAATGAGCAGTAAATAATTCATAAAAAAGTTGCAATAATAACGAAAAAATCGTTTGTTGTTTACTAGATAATGTTCTTGTGAAGGTACAGTTCAAATTTTAAGAGGATACGTGCAATAGCCTCCAAGTACCATACTCGCCCGATTTAACAAAACAAAAAAAAAAAAATTTTACGTGCCGAATGATTTGACACTTCTGAGGATCGATTTCAGCAACAACAAAGTACTACAGTTATATTTAGTTGAAGGCTATTTGTAGATACATATTTCATAGAAATGCTTTGTTTTCTCTCTCTCTCTCTCTTTCTCACTATTTGCTTATACTAATATTTGATGATTTATACCAGTTGCTTGTTCGAATCGCTACTTTCCTGCTAAGACTTGCCTTAGTCTCGTTCGAGCGCTAAAAAAAGTCGCTGCAGGCCAGATCCGTAGAATACGCTGGATGTGAAAGAAATTCGAAGTATATTTGCTGCCCTTTTTATTGATTTGTGACTTCGTACATTGCTAAGATTCTGAGGTTTTACGCTATCCATTTTCCACAGGACTTTCACATACATAGTTATCCATTTTCATGCTTAGAAACGTTTCTTTGGTATTTGTAGAGTGTCATATACCTTTATCGCCTCCATTTTATGGTCATTCAAAACCAAAACGTGACTCAGACTTTTGGTAACTGTCATTAGCCACTGTTTTGGTATCAGCAGCATTATTTCAACGAACAACAGATCGAAATTAATTTTCACCTATTTTTTCTCAAAATATAAATAATAAAACACCTTACTTTGAGAACCAATTCTCTGGCTGCTGTGAAATATATACAATTTCTTTTAGAGTTTAAATCTATCTACAATATG